ATAGTTACACACACATACGGTATATATAGTTACATACACACATATATGTGCACACACACACACACACACACACACACATATATATATATACTGTATATACACACACGCATACATATATACAGTATACACACACACACATATATATAGTACACACAATCTCTCTCTATACACACACACACAGATATATGAGAGCCAGTGTGGCATAGTGGTTTGAGTGTTGTACTACTCAAATCCCTGCTTGGCCATGTAAACCCACTGGGTGACCTTGGGCCAGTCACACTCTCTCAGCCTCAGATGAGGACAATGGCAAACCCCTTCTGAAGAAACTTGCCAAGAAAACCCCATGATAGGTTAGGCTTTGGGTCGCCATAAGTCGGAAACGACTTGAAGGCACACAACAAGAAGACAGAAATTGCAAACACACACACAGATGTATGAGAGCCAATGTAGTTTGAGTGTTGGCCTCCAGCTCCGAAGACCAGGGTTCGAATCCTGGCTTGGCCATGTAAACCCACTGGGTGACCTTGGGGAAGTCACACTTTCTTGGCCTCAGAGGATGGCAATGGCAAACCGCCTGTGAATAAACCTACCCAGAAATCCCCATGACAGGTTTGCCATAAGGGCTGTCATAAGTCAGAAATGATTTGAAGGCACACAACAACAAGAAATAAGTGTGCGTTTGTGTGTGTATTTTATATATAGAAATAGATATAGATATATAAAACACACACACACATTTCTTGTTTTATATATAATATAATATAAATATAATATAATGTATACATAAAATATAAAAAATTTGTTACATTGTAACCTTGCTGTCCTCTTCCGCAGCTCTGGCTGGAAGCAGAGGGCAAGGCAATGGGGCAGATCCAACTCCCTTTGTCTTCTTCACAACAACCCTGTGAGGTAGGCATGGCCCAAGCATCCACCATCCAGACTGCCAATGCCAGAACCCTGTTTGTGTGCCTGTTTTTCCTACATACTAGCTTAGGCAGAGGTCCTAATTCCCAGGCCAAGGATCCAGATCCCCTTTAATTCGCTTTAACACTTCCCCTTGTTCTCCTTGTCTTCCTATTGTCAGCCTTTTCTCAGCAAACTGGGCAGAGAGTCAGGCTGCATCCACAACAAACTACCACTCCCAGGATCCCACAGCAGGGAGCCAGGAAGGCAGGCTCAAAGGGGGATCAAACCGGATTACTTCCCCAGTGGGGATGCAATCTCACAGTCAACCAGACCCGAATTGGTCCTTTTAACCAGGTCCCCCCAACCCCAAACAAACACTGGTGCCACCCCACTCCATTTTTCTTTCCATATTAATACACCCAGATCACAACGCTTGAGCCTGATCCTCTCCCACCCACCCC